CTCAAAACAATCAGCCCCCCAAACATAAAGACCCAATTCCAAAATGGGCATCTGAAATTAATAGACATTTCTCAGACAAAGAAGTAAAAGCATCAAGTAAATATATGAAGAAATGTTCCACATCACTGGTCACTCGAGAGATGCAGATGAAAACAAAACTGAGATTCCACATCACCCCACAAAGAATGGCTCCTATCAAGAAATCAACCAATAACAAATGTTGGTGGGGTTGTGGGGAGAAAGGTCCCTTCTCCATTGTTGGTGGAACTACAGACTAGTGCAACCACTATGGAAATCAATATGGAGATACCTCAAAGAGCTGGGACTAGAGGCTCCATTTGACCCAGCCATACCTCTGCTAGGTAACTTTCCAAAAGAATTAAAGGAATCATACCACACTGATATATGCACACCCATGTTTATAGTGGCACAGTTTCTAATAGTTAAATCTTGGAAACAGCCCATTTGCCCATCAGTTGGAAATTGGATAAAGAAAATGTTGTTTTTCTATAAAACAGAGTACTACTCAGCCATAAAGAATGAGAAATTAGAGTTATTCATAGGAAAATTGATACATAGTGAAGATATACTCCTAAAATACTAAATAGTTTCTCTGGTGTGAAAAGCTATAATAGTACATAGATCCTAATGAGATAATTTACCATGTGAAATAGGAAGAAAGGGGCTAAAGGTGTAGGGAAAGTGGGAAGGGAAGGGGAAAGGTAATAAGGGAAAAGAAAAAATAGGACAAAATGAAAAAATGGAAATAAAATGTTTGTAAATGGGGAGGGAGGGTGAAGGGAGGGCATGCACAAGGGGAAAAATATAAGAACCAAGACCTGTCATGTAAAGGTACAAGATCCCAATAATGAATGTAATTGTACTGTATACCTAAATGTACCAATAAACTCAATAAAAGAAAAAATAAAGATAATGATACACTATACTAAAAAAATTAATGATCAACAAATCAGCTCTACCAAGTACTCATAGAAATCTTAGACAATGGGGCCAAAATCATTAAATGGTCAAAAGACCATCTAGCAAGGAGTGTAGTTACCAAAAAGAAAAAATAAAGAAATCAAAAACGGAAAATAATTTAATGATAATTCTTAGACTATAAATTTGTCGGTAATATATGATTTTTATACTTGCTTCCCTAACTGCAAAAGCAATTACATTTAGTTGTATCACTTGAGAACAACTTTGAGCTCATTTCTGCTCAGACTTAAATTCCACAGGAGACCAGTTCCTCAGTGGTGGGAGGAACAGCTAGAAATGCACCTAATGAACAGTGATTCTAGGCGATAAGTAAATCTCCTAATTAGTCCCTGAGAGGATACAATCATAAGCTGATAGGACATGGTAGTTTATTAAGGAGTCCCTAGTCTCACTAGGGGACTTTCTTTCTACCTCGTCTGATTCAAAGTTTCCTTCTCCATCACCAACTATTCAAGGAGGAAGCCATACTTCCATTCAGGCGCTTTATTCTCAGAAAACTCTTCCAACAGGCTGAGAACCAGTAGGTATTGCAGGAAAGCTTCAGCAATAGAGGGAGCTGAGAAAATTAACAGGAAATCACCTGTGAATCAAGATAGACTAGCTCATAGATGAGTCGTTGTACTTGTTCGCTTCTTGAGTAATTATTGGCAGCATATGTAATATGTTATAAACAGAAGTACATTGATCTATCTTTACAGCGGTGCCTTGTTGTTTACTGATTATTACTATCAGGAATGAAGTCCAATTGGGTGAGACTGAATGAAGTGGTAGTATATACTATTTCCATTTAATCTAATTCTTTTATGTATGAATGAATAATTGCACTTGAGAATTTGTGGAAATATATTTTCTGTCCTCAAATGTTTTATTCAATCAAATTGCAGACTTATTTCCTTCTTCTATTGATTTGTAAATTTAGAAAATTATTCTGCATGATTTTAGCAATTACTTACATTTTATACCTTTTCTGTCTTATGGCATATCTGCTTTTGTAATTATTATCAGTTTACTCTTGATTGATTATATCAGTAACAATTCTTTTTTCTCATTGAGTTTATTGGTACATTTTAAGTATGCAGTAGAGTTACATTCATTATTGCGATCTTGTACCTTTGCATGACAGGTCTTGGTTCTCATTTTTCCCCTTGTCCATGCCCTCCCTTCATCCCCTCCTCCCCTCCCCATTTACAAACACTTTATTTCCAATTTTTCATTTTCTCCTATTTTTTTTCCTTTATTACCTTTCCTCTACCCTTCCCACTTTCCCTACACCATTAGCCCTTTTCTTCCTGTTTCACATCATCAATTACCTCATTAGGATCTTATGTACTATAATAGTTTTCCACACAGAGAAACTATTTGGTATTTACACGTTTGACTTATTTATTTCACTTAGGAATATATCCTCAATATGTATCCATTTCAGTAACAATTCTTTTCGCTGTCTTGTAAATTCTAATCCACTCAATTAGAGGTCAACTTCATCTTTGTCATAACCATGTTTGTACTCATAGAAGGCTTCATTCTGTTTGTATAATTAACCTCATGTAGTTACTCTGAAGAATAAACAAGATAATATAGGCAGTGCATCTATCCTGCATGCTTGATAAGAACTCATCAAGGAGATAGAAATTTTAACCATGCATAAGACATAATTTCATTATTGCTTCCTTTCTATCTAGTGATATAAGCACAGTTGACTCCACTTACAATTCCATGAGGAAATTTTAAGTTTAAATCCTGGTTTTTCCAAATTTTTAAATATATTTGCTTTTATTACTTAATTTCCAAAGTTTGTCATTTAAATCTTTAATTAGAGAGTCCTCTTCATAGAATACATTTGTTGATATTTTATCTCTTTTCCTTGGGAATAGATTTAAGATTTTCACTCACTTTTAAAGTCCTAAATCTATTTAATTATCTAATCTTTGTTTTTATTAAATAAACACTAAGCATCTTAAATTTTCTGTATTTTCTAAAATTTTGTTACCTTTTTAAAAATACAGGATTTAGTAGAGCAGATAAGATCTCCGGTTCTTAAATTATTATGGCGAACTAGACTACATTGAAATAATTTTGTATATGTTTTAGTGTTCCTGGGATCAACCTTGGGGGGGAAAAAAACAGTACAGATCTCCATGAGGATTTTATATAAGTCTTATGTCCTGAGCAGTCCTCTGATTAGTGGTAATTAATTATAGGTGTTCCAAATTGGAAACAATTATATTACTGTGCTTTTGAATTCATTTTGAAGATTTCTGTATCTGTGTTCATGAAGGTGATTGCCCTAAAACTTTCTTTTACGGTCTTTTTTTGCCAAATTGTGACTCATTTAACTCCAAAAGCTGTAAGATAACCTCAAAAGGAAAGTTAGGAAGGATTCACATTTATACTCTATGCGCCTTTGAAGTCAAAATAATGTTTAATCCCATTTATGTATCCATGGAATAGAATGACAGTACGAAGGGAGTGGAGAAGTACGAGATATCATTTCTTTTTAAGTATTTTTAAAATAAGTTAGTTATTTAAGATGATTAATTTCTAGTCACTTACAGTACAACATACAGTATTATTAACAATGAGATCTTCCACTTGTCAAAATTTGATCTCAGGATTGACTCGTGTTGAGTGCTCTTAGCAAAAATAATTAGGAAAAAAGATATAAAATCACTATGAGCACAGGTGGATATGTCAATAATACTGATTTGGGTGATACAATCATTAGAATATGTGTGTCTGAACTCATTATACTATACATGATATACATGCAGTTTTTCATTTCAGACTTAGTCCCATAAAACTATTTAAAACAGAAATACAAGACATAGTATGGGAAATAAATGACATTCTCTGTGGTAGGGAGTAGTGATTGGCAACTTGACTGGATTAAAATACTCCTGATATGATTAACTCAAGAGGGTGCAACACTTATCAATCAATTCACTCCCTGATGATTATAGCTGAACATGCTGTTGGATTTGGGGCACAGTTGGAGGTGTGTTACTAGGGGCTTGATGTGGGAGACTGCATCTCTCACTGACCCTCTTCCCCTGTGCTCTGCTTCTGCCCCTAGAGGGTGAGCAGCAATCCTCCACCAAGCCACTCCACCATGATACTTCTCGCTTGAAGCAAGGCCATCATGGCCTGAAACTGCTAAAGCTCTAAATCCATGAAAATCTCTTCTTTTTTAGTTTATGGGCGTTGGGTATTTTGTCCCAGCAATGGGATCACTGACCAATATCCTGTGCAACTTGAAAATCTTTACATTTCAGTAGCTTCTGATAGTCCACCTCCTTCATTATTATTAGACATGATTTGTTTATCTTCTCCCTCTGTCCTTCTAGCTGCCACACTGATTTCCTTTTGAACAATATTAGATGAAACAAGCACCTCCTTTAGGGCCTTCCCCTGTTCATTCATCTTGCTACACACTTGCTTCTAAGGATAGCCTTGTGTCTCCTTCCACTCTGCTTCCTTGAGAGCATTGCTCAAGTATTATGTTTTCCTTTCTCTCCTGCAACCCCATAAAGGTAGCACCTCCAACCATATTTCTGTTTATCCGACCATATTTTCTCCAAAGCAACTATAATCACATAATACATAATATGAATGTTTCTTAAAATTACATAAAATTATACATATCTATTCCTTAATAATTTATCATTTCTAAATTGGAAACATTTTTATAATCCTCATGTAGATTTCTGATACATAATTTTCACACTGAGGGCCAAACCCATGACCTGACACATGCTAGGCAATTACTCTGCCAGCAGCTAATATTTATATTTTCCACAATGATTGCACTGCAGGAAATTTTACTTTTCAGTACACTATGTTTAAAACTCAGCTCACTTTCTTTGTATACATGAAATGTTTTTAATTAAAGCTAGAGAATATGTAATATGTTTTTAAAGTAACAAAGTAAAGAAAATTCTAATCAGAGACACCAGAGGAAATAACAGAAATCAACCATGGTTTCTTTCTCTTTACAGCACATGGGAACACAGAATATTACAAAAATTTCAGAATTTCTTCTTCTGGGACTTTCAGAGGAAGCAGAACTGCAGCCCCTCATGTTTGGACTTTTCCTGTCCATGTACATAATTACTCAAGTTGCAAACCTGCTCATCATTGTGGTGACAGTGTCAGACACCCACATGCACACACCCATGTACTTTTTTATTTGTAACCTGGCCTTTGTAGACATGTGTTTCGTCTCTACCACTGTGCCAAAAATGCTGGTGAACATCCGGACACTCAGCAAGGCCATATCCTATGAAGGCTGTATCACTCAGATTTATTTTTTTATATTATTTGCACTGCTGGACAACTTCATCCTGGCTGTGATGTCTTATGACCGTTTTGTGGCCATCTGTCACCCACTGCACTACAGATTCATTATGAAGCCCAAGCTCTGTGTATTGTTTGTGCTTGTTTCCTGGATCATCAGTGCCCTGAATTCATTGTTACAAAGCTTCATGGTGTTAAGGCTATCCTTTTGCACACATGTGGAGATCCCACATTTTTTCTGTGAACTTGATCAATTAATTCATCTTGCCTGTTCTGACACTTTTCTTAATAATGTGATAGTATATATTACAGCTATGTTTTTGGTTATTGGGCCACTCACTGGCATACTTTACTCTTACTCTAAGATAGTTTCTTGTATACATGCAATAGCATCTACTCAGGGGAGGTACAAAGCCTTTTCCAATTGTGCATCTCACCTCACAGTTGTCTTCTTATTTTATTGTACAACACTAGGTGTGTACCTTAGTTCTGCTGTTGCCCAAAACTCACATTCAAGTGCAACAGCCTCAGTGATGTACACTGTAGTTACACCAATGCTGAACCCATTCATCTACAGTCTGAGAAATAAAGACATAAAGAGGGCTCTGAAAAGACTCTTTAACAGAAAACTACAGTTTTCCATTGTCTTGGGACAAAAAATGTTCTGCTGATCACAGGGCTCAACACCTGGAAAGCTAAGATTAAAATATTTCAATTACACTGTAGAAGTAATGATTTTTTCCTTAGTTTCATTAGAAAATTTCACAAAGGTTATCTTTCTTTGATTGCAATTTTCTATAAAATGTAACTGACCTTGTTAAACTCTATACTCTAAACAATGCTGTTCTTTATCAATTTCATACTTGCTGACTTATTTACAATCACTGTATTGAAATATGAAAAATTCCACTTGTCTCAGGTTAACATGAACAATTTCATGACAGTCAACTGTTTCTGCTGAGTTCTTTTTCTTTTGTTGTTACTAGAAAATATAGCCATGTATTGCACTCCTATGTAAAAAAAAAACACATTTGGCTACTAAGGTCAATTACATAATTTTCTACTGCAGGAAATGCAGAGAACAGTTTGCATTTTTACTCAATGAGTTAGACTGTAACAGATCAATGTGCTCAATAATGATCATTGCCTTTTCTTTTCATCAGGATTCCATTTTCTTATCATAGCCACTGGCAAAACATATTGTGAAATATTTATCTCCAAGAGCAGTCTACATGAAAAGAAAAATTACAATTGATTGATTCAATTGCCCACAGGATGAGAAAAGAGATTTTATATAATGACATATTTACCCATATTATATATGTGTTATTTTAAAAATAACTGAAAGGCCAGGGATTTAGCTCAGTGGTTCTGCCACCTCCCTCACAAACACAAGGTCCCGAGTTTGATCCCCAGTACCAAAAAAAAAAATCTGCTAAAAAAAATAACTGAAGTACTCAAGTACATTAAAATTGCAAATATCCAGGCCATTATGCTATTCTTTATTATTTTTCCTCATTGAGTTTATTGGTACATTTTAGTTATAGAGTACAGTTACATTCATTACTGGGATCTTGTACCCAGTACCCAAGACATGACAGGTCTTGGTTCTCATTTTATCCCCTTATCCCTGCCCTTCCTTCACCCCCTCCTCCCTCCCCATTTACAAACATTTTATTTCCATTTTTTCATTTTCTCCTATTTTTTTCCTTTCCCTTATTACCTTTCTGCTACCCTTCCCATTTTCCCTACACTTTTAGACGTTTTCTTGCTATTTCATGTTGTCAATTATCTCATTAGGATCTTATGTAATATTATAGCTCCTCACACCAGAGAAACTATTCAGTATTTACACATGTGTGACTTATTTATTTCACTTAGGAGTATGTCTTCAATATATATCAATTTCCTATGAATAACTCTAATTACCAATTCTGTATGGCTGAGTACTATTCCGTTTTATAGAAAAACCACATCTTCTTTATCCAATTTCCAACTGATGGGCGAATGGGCTGTTTCCAAGATTTAACTATTAGAAACTGTGCCACTATAAGCATGGGTGTGCGTATATCAGTGTGGTATGATTCCTTTAATTCTTTTGGAAAGTTACCTAGCAGAGGTATGGCTGGGTCAAATGGAACCTCTAGTTCCAGCTCTCTGAGGTATCTCCATATTGATTACCATAGTGCTTGCACCAGTCTGCACTCCCACAAACAACGGAGAAGGGTACCTTTCTCCTCACAACCCCGCCAACATTTGTTATTGGTTGATTTCTTGATAGGAGCCACTCTTTGTGGGGTGAGGTGGAATCTCAGTGTTCTTTTCATCTGCATTTCTCAAATGACCATTGATGTGGAACATTTTTTCATATATTTACTTCATGCTTTTATTTCTTTGTCTGAGAAATATCTGTTCATTTCAGATGCCCATTTTTGAATTGGGCCCTTCTATTTCGGGGGGTGCTGATGGTTTTGAGTTCTTTATATATTCCAGATAGTAGTCCTTTGTCTGAGGAGCAGCTGGTAAAAATTTTTTCCACATTGTACAGTGTCTCTTAGCTCTGTTCATGGTTCCTTTTGCAGTGTAGAGCTTTTTAATAAGATGAAATCCCAGTTGTTGATTCTTCCTGCTAGTTCTCATGCTACTGAGGATTTGTTCATAAAGTGTTTTCCTTTGCCAATGTCTTCAAGAGTTCTGCCTAACTTATCTTCCAGCAAGTTCAGTAGTTCTTTTTTAATGTTTAGATCATTAATCCATTTGGATTTTACTTTAGTTCATGGTGAAAGATAAGGGTCTAGTTTTAATCTTTGGCAGGTTGAGATCCAGTTTTTCCAACACCATTTATTAAAGATGCTATCTTTCCTCCAGTCAGGATGGTCAGGTCCTCTGTCAAAGATGAGGTAGCTAACTACAGCTACAGTTGTTTTTGTATCTTCCAGTCTGTTCCACTGATCCTCAGGTCTGTTTTTTGTTTTGTTTTGTTTTGTTTTTTGTTTGTTTGTTTGTTTTGCCAGTAGCATGCTGTTTTATCACAGAGTCTTTGTACTATTGTTTCAAATTGGGAATTATTATACCCGCTGCAATGTCTTTGTTGCCTAGGATGGCTTTTGCTATTCTAGGTCTCTTATGGTTCCAAATGAATTTTGGGATTCTTTTTTCTAGTTCTGTGAAATATAGTGTTGGAATTTCAATTGGCATTGCATTGAATCTGTATAGCAGTTTTTGTAGTATGGCCATCTTCACTATGTTGATTCTTCCTACCCAGGAGCAGGTGATATCTTTCCATTTTCTTATATCCTCTTCAATCTCTTTTTTCTGAGTGCTGTTGGTTTCATTGTAGAGGTCTTTTGCTTCTTTTCTTAGATTGATTCCTACATACTTCTTTTTTTTTTTTTTGAATGCTACTGTGAATGGAATTTTTCCCTAATTTCTCTCTCAGTGAGTCTGTTAATTCTGTACAAGAAGGCTGTTGATTTTTGGGTGTTGACCTTGTATCCAACTACTCTGCTAAAAGTCAATTAAGTATAGAAGACATTTGGTGGAGTGTTTTAGGTCTTCAATGTAGAGTATCATATTGTCAGCAAATGATGACAGTTTAACTTCCGTTCCCAACTTTTTTCTTTAATCTCTCTTGTCTAGTTACTGTGGCTAATGTTTCCAGAACTATATCAAAGAGGAGTGGTGAAACAGAGCATCCTGGTCTGGTTTCTACTTTTAATGAGAAAATTTTCAGTTTTTTGCCATTTAATATGATGTTGGCTGTTGGTTTTTCATAGATAGCCTTTATTAAGTTGAGATATAGGCCATCTATTATAATTTTTGCAGGGTTTTTATTATGAATGGGTGTTGAATGTTGTCAAGTGCTTTTTCTTCATGTATGGAGGGGATCATATGTTTTTTGTCATTGACTCTGTTAATATGATGTATTATATTTATTGCCTTACATATGTTGAACCATCCTTGCATCCCTGGAATAAATCTGACTTGGTCGGGATGTATGATCTTCTTGATGATCCTCTGTATTCTTTTTGCTAATATCTTCTTAAGGGTTTTTGCATCTGTATTCTTTAAGGAGATTGTCCTGTACTTCTCTTTTTTAGAAGCATCTTTCCCTGGTTTGGGAATCAAAGTAATATTTGCTTCCAGGAATAAATATGGAAGTATTGCTTCCTTTCAATTTCCTTGAAAAGTTTGAAGACTAATGGCAGTAGTTATTCTCTAAATGTCTTGTAAAATTCACCAGTGAATCCTTCAGGACCTGGGCTTTTCTTTGTTGGTAAATATTTAATTACATTTTCAATTTTGCTGATTGTAATTGGGGTGTTTAAACTGTTTTTAACTTCTTTGTTCAACTTTGGTAATTCATAAGTATCTAGAAATCTGTCCATTTCTTCTGTTTTCCAATTTATTAGAGTACAGGTTCTCAAAGTAGGTTTTCATTATCCTCTGGATTTCTGTTTTATCTGTTGTGCTTTCACCTTTTTCATTCCTGACTGCATGTATCTGAGCCTTTTCTTTCCTTTTTTTTATAAGGTCAGCTAAGGGTTTGTAAATTTTATTTATGGTTTCAAAAACCCAACTCTTGAGCCAGCAAGGTGAGATCTGGGAAAAGTGGCTCAGCTCAGACATCCCATCTGCTTCCACCGGCCTGGGCCCAGTCCCCAGGTCCAGGTAGCCACAGCCTCTCTTGCAGGCACCACCATTGCCACTCTTCCAATGCCAGCCAGAAAGGTGAGACCCGGGGAAAGCGGCTCAGCTCACACAGCGCATCTCCTTCCGCCATCCTGGGCCCAGCCTATGGGTCCGGGTAGCTATGCACTCTCTTGCGGGTGCTGCCATTGCTGCTCCAGCACCAGGAGGGTAGCCTTGCAGGTGCTGCACCCCCTTCCAACTCTCAGATCTCCTGATTGTGCCAGTTCTTGAACCCACTCTGCAGAGACATAGCTGATTATAAAGGGTATTTTTCTGAGCTCCCAAATTTGAACATCTTTAAATAAAAGGGGGGGGAACTTGTGATAGAACTGTCTAGAGTTCAACTCTGCAGGAGGTCAGGGAGCTCAAATTGATTGTTGTGGCCTGATGTCAGTTGGCATCAAGGGGGTCTGCCTTTGGCTAGCTAAGATAGGGGGATTTGCTTCTGCACATGGCTGCAAATGATGTACATTATGACAGCAGAGATATAGCCTGAAAGAAGGCCTTCAAAGGCCTTCTTTTGTCCTTTTCTTTCTATTCCTCATTCCACTCTGTAAATTCTTCTTTCTGTCCTCTTTCACCAACTCAGGGTCTTGCTCCACCATATTGTCCTTCATCTCACTTTCTGTTCCTGCTCCTGCCCTAACTCGGATTTCTTCCTTTATCATTTTTCCCTTTTTATCAATGTTCTTTTTTTCTATCATTGAGCCTCACTCAAGGGTCAGAAGTTTCAAAAGAAAGTGAACCCCTATTGCTGTTAAGGGGATATATTCTTGTTCTTATACTCACACTCAGTCTATCCCTTTTGAGTTTTACAATTTCCTAAAGATTATGTGGTCATTCTGTGTCCTCTGGCTTCACTTGAAACCTTCTCTAGTTCTGTTACTTGGTTAATCTTCTCATCCTCACTAGGTCTAGGTCCCCATCCTAAATGGTAAATATGCTATGTTGAGGAGTTTGTTCACTGCAAACATATTTT